GGCTGGTGTGTGTGTGTGTGTGTGTGTGTGTGTGTGAACTGCAGACCTCGATGACATTGGAGTCCGAGAAGCCAGGGAGGCGCTGGTCCTTGCAGATGACCCCAGCATCCTCATCGTGGGTGCAGTCACTGTTCCCCCAACCCCTCGAGGTGCATTCGGCCACACTCTGCTCAGTCCCACTGCAGCTCAGGTTGTCCAGCCAGATGCGGCCTGTGGAGGGAGAGATAGGGGACAGAGAAGTGTGGGGAGGTAGGGTGGGGAGAGCGAACATGGAGGCCTCACTCTTGGCTATAATGATCCCATTTTTTCGGATAAGATAATGGGTGGGGAAGGGACAGGGGACCTTGGAGGGGATAAAAAAAAGAGGCATAGGATCGACAGAGGGCCGGTGGTGGTTTGGGGATACTCAGGAATTTGGTGAATAAAAAACCAAGGGTCAACCTTGAAATTCTGCTTGGTTCTTACCCACTCAATGAGAGCTAGAGTTAACCAAGTACCTGTTGTGTTAGGCACGCTGCCGTGGTGTGTACATACATGACCATGCTTAGAACAGAGCGGCCAGAAGTATTACCCCCCTTCATATTAAAAAACCAATGGGGGTTCAGAAAAGTTAAGTAACTTGCCTGAGACCACGTAGCCCATGGAGGCTAAGGAGTTCGAGCCATTGGCGAGACTTGGAAATCTGAGACCTTTCACCTGAGCCTCCCATGTGCCCGCCCTGTCTGTGCTTCCGCATTGCCCCTTGTTCTGTTCTCTGCCCGGACCTCACTGAACTGAGCGTCGCTGCCTTCCTCTCAGAATGGGCGGCCCCTCAAAGGCTGTCTGTCCCAGACATTGTGTAGGGATCCTTGGTGCCTATTCTGACAGGACTTCCCAGCTTCTGCTGGGACACCGACCTCCTGCCCGCCCAGGCGGCCGGAGCCATTACACAGCCCTTGTGATTCTTTATGACTTTCCCCTACCAGGTCTGATTCAGTCCTTTGATGCCATCCAAAAAAATCCCGCAGCCACATGACTGTCCTCATATTTGAAGACATCCGTCATGTAGCTGCTATCCAAGTTTTTCCTTCAGATCAGAAATCCCTGGTTTCTTCAGCGACTACTCCTTGAAAGTTGGCTTCAAATCTTCCACATCTGGGCAGCTATCCTCTGAAAATATTTCTATTTTCTACCACCTCTCTTAAAATGTGGCACTTACAAGTGACACTTTATTCCAGAAGTGGCCTGGCTGGTGGGAATTGGGGTATCAGCTGCAGACTGCACCAGCTTCTATCACTCCAACTGTGGGCTCATACAGTGCAAGCACCCCCAGGCCTCAGTTGGAATTGCTCCTAAACATTCATACTTGCCCTAGTCAATTCCAGCTTGGTTTCAGCTCTGGCCTCTAACGTGACTTTGTTAGCTGCAGGATCTAGGATCCTGACTGGCTTTGGGACATCCAGACATCATTTACCTGCTCTCAGCTTCCCGCGAAGCAACCGTACTTGAACTGTACAGGGCTCACTTGATCAGGGCTGTGCTCGTACATGGCTTTGGAGAATCATACTTTGAAAGGAACTTAGGTATCATCTAGTCTTGTTGCTCATGGGACATCAGAGGCTCAGAGAGGGCACTGATCAGCGTAAGATCACACAGCTCTGAGAAGTGACTATGTTGGCTGGTTTGTCACTCATGGCTTAACCTGACTATTTATTCTCAGTGTCCTGTGGTCCTGTGGCTGTGCCATCCTCCTGTTCTCTCCCTGCACTGAGGCCACACTTGGGCAATACTGAGGCTACACCTGGCGCTCACCTGTTCCAGGGCCATATTTGGCGCTGTGGGTCCAGCCTGTGGCCTCTGTGAAGCCCAGCTCCCGGCAGAGGACATGGGCTGCCTGTAGTGTGAAGTCATCATCACAGATGGTGCCCCATTCGCCAGCTCGCTGTATCTCCACTCGGCCTTCAAAGGGCTTCCTGGGGAAGCCAGCCAGCCGGAACCGCAGCCCCTGGCTTCCAGCCCTCTTCTCGGGGGCCGTGGATGGGGATGGAGATCCCAGGCATGAGCTGCACAGCAGGCACAGCAGCAGTCCCCACGGGCTCCACCGCCAGACACTGACAGGTCGCATGGCAGAGAAGGCCTGGGGGGGGGGGGGGGGGGGGAGAAAGAGAGAGAGACTGAGATTGAGGCAGGTCCAGGTCTGAGAGAGAGAGAGAGAGAGAGAGAGAGAGAGGTCAAGAGAGGAAAGGAGACACTTAGCAAGACCAGAGACAGAAACACAGGGGGAGAGAATGACAGGAACTAAGATAGTGAGGGAGAAACACACACTACACATGGGCTGAAACACAGAGTCAAGGAGACTCAGAGAATCAGATTGGGGGAGGGAGAGAAGGGGAGAGGGAGAAAGGGGGAGAGGGAGAGAGGAGGAAAGGGAGAGAGGGGGAGAGGGAGAAAGGGGGAGAGCGAGAGAGGGGGCAAGGGAGATGGAAACAGAAGGGGGGGGAGGGGGAGAGAGACTGGCTCTCTTTTTGTAGAGTAGAACTCTCCCTATTAGTTGTTAATGTGTCACATCGACCTCCCCTAGTTTTATAATTACCACCTTCATTACCCACTCACAATATAAGCGACCCAGAGATCAGAATCAATGATTAGAGACCAAGAGTCTGTCGAAATAAAGAGATAGAGACCGAGCAAGAGACACAAAGAGGAAGACCCAGACAGACAGGATGTGAGAGGAAGGGAAATTATGGGAATGAAAGGGGGCCATCAAAGAGAGAGAGAGGAGAGAGAGAGAGAGAGAGAGAGAGAGAGATGGGGAGACAGCCAGGCAAAGAGAATTGGGGAGTGGCTGAGAGGCGGGCAACAGGTGAGGAGGAGAGGGACTGACAGGAGCTGAGAAGCAGAGGCTGGCGGGACCCAGATG